ATTGGGATACAAATGAGGGAAATTTATACTGAGATATAATAGGGGAAATCCGTCCAGCCCCAAAGCTGGGATATATCCGAGAGTAGGTTACAATAGGGGGGGGGGGGTTATAAACGAGGGATGACTGTACAAGGAATGTGATTCTTAAACATTTTACTAGTACTGGTCAAACATATAAAATATCGAAATTTTCAAATCGCTAACTCTCCACATTTTCTCGGGCAAGCACCAATAAAATTATATCATTTTTAAGCCAGATAACTGTAGCCTTAAGTGAAAGAGGGCATTTTTTAAGATATTACTGTTGCATGTGAGAAGATGATGAAAGTTTTACATGCTTAATTAATATTACATAAACCGCATTTGCAATGGTGCGAATTGTGCAACAAACATTGCAAATGTGATCTACCGCATTAGTCTAATTACGCGACTAATTTCAGCCTTAAGTAAGCAATTGTAGTAGGGCAGCGCCTAAACTGTTACTTCTCATAAAGTATATTTGATATTGCATAGTTACCATTGTGAGATATGTCAACAAAAGTTCTCCCCTTTTATCGGTGCGGTGTGTTAATTTTCCGTTGCGCTCGCATGACATTAATTTGACTCCGACCAATAAAATATTTTGCAATTATTATGTAAAAGAGGAGAAATGACTGGGAATGAGCAGTGCGGGACTTGCAGAAGTCACTTGCAGCACTTGCAACAACTACTCAATCAGGTAACAACTTTGTGACTCGGATGTTGGGGTGTCGTCCGCCCTTCATTTATTCTTCCCATCCATTCGCACAACTAATACGATTTTTCTGTTCTCAAGTGAAAGGTATATTAAATATAGTAGCAAATGTTATGAAACATCAGTCTAGTGAATAGAATCTTTACTTGTACCTCTCGTCTTCGAATCAATTCCAGAAGTTTCGTGTGACGAGAAAGCTTCTTTGTCAGAACTGCAATGTCGGATCAAAAAGGAATTCGGGGATATACTCGAAGATATGAGGAAGACAAAATTTCAATTACGCACGAGTCTATCAGTTACAATTTGACCATCAAGCAATGTTCGATCATTTTAAAAAACGCACGTGTAGCGAACGGCTCCTTGATTTCAAAGTAAACACGCGTAAGTGCGTTATTATTATTAATCCATTTGATGGCTTCCTTAAAAATCACGCAAATATAACACTAAAAATACAAGTATTGTACAACCATGACTCTATAATACGAAAACAAACCACGTCAATTAAAACCGTATGTGAAGTACAATCTAAGTTGTTTTTCTAGTAAGTTTTCTCTTCTTTCCCTTCTCTTTTTTCATGTATTTTTGCATGGAATCATCTTTCGCATAGTAGTATATTAGATACGGAAAGTAATCGTGTCCTTGCCTTTGCTTTCGCGTGAGCATACACATCTCCAATTCGCATATGAACTACATATATGGGTCAGATTAGTTAATGTTCAAAGAGAAGGTGTCACTAATTATTCAAGGCTTAAGCTTACCTCTGCTTTCTGCTTAAGCCAAACATGTTTACCAACAACTTTGGCATTACCGACAACATCACTCATT